ACATTAAGTAATATAGATCATCTGGGTCTTGAGCTTTTTTAACAAGTAATTCAAACATCTGAAACCCACCTCCTTGCCTGGCTGTCCAGCCAGAGCATGGAGGCTGGAAGGGAACCTAAGACCAGGAAAAAGCTTCAGTAGGGCTGCTCCTTTTTATTCCCCAGCCAGGCCCCTCACTGCTTATAAACCCCCTCAAATGGCCTGAATTGCATTCACTGTGTTAAACAGAATGCTCCACTCTCATTTAGCAGAAAGCTTTTTGGTACTTGTTCCTGCAGCTAAAATTACAGTGTGTCATAAAAGAAAACACATTAATGATTTTTCAGGGACTCAAGGAGGGTAAAATAAGATTGCACACAGATGCTTGATAGGTGGGATAGGCTGTTGCCCTTAGTACCCACAAGGTGAGAGTCTCAAACTTAGTGATAGACCCACATAATATGCAGTAAATAGCCAGTGGAAAAGGGAAGGGGAAGGAGATAGGAGGATGCCAGGCTGAGACTACATCTTATAATTTCATCTTCTAGTTGGGTAGGTGCTCGTTTTTTCTGATCCTTAGTTCAAGGTGCATTTACTGGATCTCACTGTTTCTTCACTATACAACAGGACTGAAAAGCTTTAAACATGCAGGAAAGCCAGAAGGGAGGGTTTAGAGGAAGGCAAATGAAAAACAGATGGCATTCGGCACTTACCAATGTCTCTACCATATTTGGCTTGTAGTTGCGGAGGGTCTTTGCAGCATAGAAAACGTCTACCATGTTGTGACTCTTGATCATCTCCAGGATCATGGTAGAGGCACAGAAGGTGCCACTCCGACCACCCCCATTCCTAGCAAAAGAAATACACGGACTCAGTCCACAGAAAGATGGTGCATAACAATACACCTTAAACCATTTATTCCAAAAGCCCTTGCTGCAGCCTTACGGAAACTGGCCTCTCTCTAGCGCCTCCATACTTTTTGACAAATATTCATCATTAATTAGGCCCCATGGTAGCCCTGTGAGAGAGGAACTGGGGCCATAATGAGGAATTAAGGCCAATATTTTCAAACCTGGGTACCTAAAATTAGACCCCTAAATAATTGGTTGGATAATCAGAACTCAGTGAGAGCTGCAGCCGCACAGGCAAATGCAGACAGGCTGTTTGCATTAGTCTTCAACAGAGGCTAGAGAGTCCTGCTTCTGGTATCCTGTTTTAGGCCATAAAGATAAGGTATTGTCAAAGCCAAGTGTCATAAAGGAAAGACCTGAAGCAAATTAAGGGTGTCTTTACACATGCTTGGGGGTAGGGGGGCGGGGGAAGGCACCTGCTTTAATTAGAGTGGCTCTCAGGAACTGCTCTAATCAAAGAGCCCACAGCATCTCGTGTATTCAGCATCCCACACTTCAAAACAGCGGCATGGGCACTTTAACTAAAGCTCATTGAACAAGCTTTAGTTGAAACACTCCTGCTGCCAGGGACGCAGAGACACTGAATACACAAGATGTCAAGGCTACTGGGGCGTACTCAATTACTTGAGCCTGCTCCGACTCACTGTACTTAGGTGCATCGGAGCAGGTGTTCCCCTCATCTACAGGCACCCTAAATGATTAAACAGTAACAAGTCACCATGATTTTAGGGCAGGGGTGGGCAAAATGCAGCCTGTGGGCCAGATATGACCTGCCAGGCCATTCTGTGTGTCCCGCAGAGCCCTTAAAAATTTAGAAAATTAATATTTATCTCCCCCTGGCTGCCTGTCATGCGGCCCTCGATGGCTTGCCAAAACTCAGTAAGCGGCCCTCCGCCCGAAATAATTGCCCACCCCTGTTTTAGGGACATCCCAGAACCCTGAATGAACTTGTATGTGAAGTGCCTGAGGTACTATAACAAATATGCAATCTCATTAAAATCAGCTTTCCACTGAAGGACTGGAAGGTACCATACACTGTACTGGTTTAGTGGGAATTTCAGCGTGGTGAACCCTACTTGAGAAGTGGTAAAGTTGTTTAAATGACAGGGTCATAAAACACCTAGATGAGCACAATACACTGAAGATGAAGCAGCAGCGCTTCTACAAAGAAAAAATTGTGCCTCGCTAATCTATTAGCATTCTTTAAGCATATTAGCAAAATGGTGGATAAGGAAGAAGCAGTTGGTATAATTTATCAGGTTTTTCAGGAAGTGTTTGGCACTGTCTAACCACCTCAGGCACTTATAAATTCATATTCCCATAGTGTCTGAGTACCTCACAGTCCAAAATTGCTCAGCCAGCTTTCCAAATCATCCTTCAGTTCTCTCTAAGAGGTAGTTAAGGAAATTAAGTAGGTGCAAAGAGAGAGAGGCAACGTATTGCCAAGGATTAGAAACTGGCTAAGAGACAGAAAACAAAGTCTGTTGATTTTCAGCTCCTTATAAGATTGTTAATTAATAGGACGTCCCAAAACCTC